AGGGTGGGGGAATTCATTTGGAGTCTCTCATTTAGAACTAGAGAATACTTTAGTGGGTTGCTGAGGTATAAGGGAATAAGGAGACCCTTCTGAATTGGGGGGACCTGGACTAAGACAGAAATGGAAAGATGCTTCATAATTTTGGTATTTTGGAATGAATGTAAATGTATACTTTACACACATTGATTTTAAATTCAATGAAAGAAAGAGTAAAACCAAAGGAGACTCAGGTTTTTACTCTAACTGGGCAGAAGGTGGCTTCATTAACTAAAATGTGAATGGCTATCACCATGTACTATCTCCTTGTTCTTCCTTTTCAAAGCTTTCCTGGTTTTAGTTTTTATATTTCCATATTAATTTTAGTATCAAATTATATGCTTCCTAAAAAATTTTATTAGAGTCGTATTATTGTATTTGTAATAAACATATGGAGAGTTCTCATTAGTATGATATTGAATCTTTCTAAGAATGTGGTCTGTCTTTCTAGTTCTTTTGGTGGCATTCTAGAGAATTTCTTGTATGACATAGATTCTTCACATTTCTTGTTATGCTTACTTATATTTTTTTCCGGGGGTGGGGTATCAGGGATTAAACTCTGGGGCACTCAACCACTAAGCCACATCTAAACCCCTATTTTGTATTTTATTTAGAGACAGATTCTCACTGAGTTGCTTAGCATCTTGCCATTGCTAAGGCTGGCTTTAACTTTCTATCCTCCTGTCTCAGCCTCCTAGGTCACTGGGATTTATAGTTGTGTGCCACCACAGCCAGCCATATTTTATCTTTTAACCATATTTTATCTTTTATATGCTATGAGAATAGATTTCTTTTAATATGTGTTCTTAACATGTTGTTACATGTGAAATCTATATACTTTTGCATATTCATTTTTTCCTTGGAAAAGTATTGAATTCTCTTTAATGTTTTAATAATATTTCCATTTTTAGCTTTAACAAATACATTTTAACTTTTATGTTTATTAATCTTAAGGATTTATTTTATTTTTATCTATATAACTTAAGATAAATGATTGATTAATTTATTTTCTGATTTATGTCTTGTTGATATAATAACTTAGGTCTATGAATTTTCCTATTTCTTCCTAGAAACATTTACAACATTATTTAGTAAAGAATTTTTTTTGATACAAGAATTGTTTGAAATAGGACTTTTTAAACTTCCAATAGAAGGATCTTTGTATTTCTGATTTTGTCAATAGTTACAACTATATTGTCATAATTAAATAAATTATTTATAGTTTATATAACTATCTTCTTTTTGGTATTAATAAAAATTTCTTTTGTACCAAAAGTCATACCATTTTAAAAAATATATTGTTTGGTGAGGGTACATAAAACTGTACTATCTATTTTCAGACTTTAATATAATCGTATAGATGTTATTAATTATGTTATTTACATTTTCTACATTCTTATCTGCCATGAATTATAAAGGCTGAATTAAATTCAGCAAATACAATGTATTATATTTTTATCATCTGTAATTTTGACTTATGAATTCTGCTTATCTTTCTTTTGTTAATTACATATTTATTAGTGCTGTATTTTCTTTTGAATCTCCCCTATGCTTTTTAATGTGTACCTCTTTGTCCTACTTAATATTGAATTTTTTCTTGCATGAAATAGCATCATTCTTTTTGTGCATGTCATTTTACCTGCTGTATTTGAACATATTTTGTTCTCAACATTTCTGAATTCTGAGTAACTTTAAATGTGTCATATATAATATGATTTGTATTGTATACCATATTTTTTGTGAGTCAATTTGCAAATATTGTTCTTTTAAATAGATGAGTTAGATAAATTTATATTTATTGCTATGACAAATATATATGACCATAATCATCACATTATTTTCTGTTTGTGGTTTTTATTTTTTACATTATTTTCTTTCTATGTTTTTTCTAATATTTAGGAAGGTTTTGGTTATCTCAATAATTATAACACTATACAGTGCACCATACAGTATTCTGTTTCTTTATATGGTATCTACTGATACTCATAAAATAAGTGATAATCTGATTCCATTTCTTTTTATGTGTTATCTGATGTTTGCCAATAAAAATTAACTTTCAAAGTATTTATACTTTTAAATATTTTTAAACTATTATTGATTAGCTTTTTGAATATTTGTTGATTCCCATTATAGCATATTAAGCAATAACTAAAATTTCTTATATTTTTCCTTCCAATTTTAATTCTGTTAATTGCATTATTCCTGCATAGTCAAAGCAAGTATCATTTACATTCACCTGTGTCTTAGTCTACCTTGTGCAGGCATAATAGAATACCACAGATTGGCTAATTTATAAAGAACAGAACTTTATTCCCTCACAGTTCAGGAGATGAGAAGTCCAGGATGAAGGTACTGGCATTTGGTGAGGGTCTTCTTGCTGTATCATGCCATTGCAGAAGGCAAAAGGGCAAGGAAGGGTCCAAGTGAGACAAAGGGGGATGAACTCATCCTTTTGTAGTGAACCCACTTCCACCAAAGGACATTAATCCATTCACATGGGCAGAGCCCCTATGACCTGCACACCTCTTGAAGGTGCCGCCTCTTAATATTGCTACAATGGCAATTAAATTTCAACATGAGCTTGGTAGGAGGTAAACATTCAAACCAGAGTAGTTTGTCACTTTAGTTCTCACATAGTTTTAAACCTTAGTTATGTAATGAAATATATTTAGAACTCTATGGTAGTCTTTTTGCCAGTTTCCTCAAACTCATCTTGATTAATTTGAAGTACATATTTTAGCATGTTCCTTTGGTAAGCAGTAGTCCCTGTTTCTTTCATTTTCAGAATTGTTTGTTATTTTTTAATCTGAGAGGCAGATTTGTCTGGTCTAAACTTCTTGACTTCCAATGACTTCATGTGAATTTCTGTGGATATTGACCTATAATTTTTTGAAATTGAATGTTAAAATTGGAAATTTGGCCTGATTACTCATAGGATTCTTTTTCTTCTCCTCCTCTTCTTCTTCCTCCTCCTCTTCCTCTTCCTCTCCTTCTCCTTCTCCTTCTCCTTCTCCTTCTTCTTCTTCTCTCCTTATCTTCCTCCTTTTCCTCCTCCCACCCTCCTCCTTCTTTTAAAATCTTTACAATCCAGGACCTTTACTATGTTGGTGTTGACAATTATAAGTCAATTTTGATTGATTCAAGTCTTTTTGTCCTCACTTTTTATTATCTTGAGTTCTAATTTTTAAACATTTTGATATAGTGTTTGTTTATAATGTTCAAGTTTTCCATGACAGCATTTTTTGTTGAGTTTATTGATAAACTGGTAAATTCCTTACAAATTTTTTTCTTTTTGTTTTTTTTTTCTTGATTCTGCTACTTTTTAAATGTATGCTTTTATTTATTTTAAAATTTGCATATGGTAAAATTTGCTTCTTTTGGTATGCTGGTCTATTAATTTGTACAAGTGCCTATATTATCTGCCAGATGACTATAATAGTTCCTATTTGAATCAGAATTGTTTCATCACTTTTCAAAATTCTGGGCTTTCCCTTATGTAGAGACTTCTATTGATGTTTCATCCAGTCCTTTTTTATTATTCATAATTGAATTGAGTTAAGATTTTTGTGGACCTGCTATTTGCAGAATATTTCCACCATAGGTTGGGGAGGCAGCCTGTGGCCTCTCTGCTTTCATGAAGCTCCCTATTGTAATGGCTCCTATATGTCACTTTTGTGATATAACACACTTTGAACTATACCTGATCCAAGAGGGCTCTTCTGATTTTATTTTTATTTTCTCTGGTACAATTAAAAAATATGGGCTTTCCCACCCCATTTTGGATGTAAACCCTTCACTTCAATCAAGTATATTTTGATAATCTTTTTCAAAGGTCTGTTGTTGCTCAGAACCCTGCGTGTTTGTTTTTGTTTTTGTTTTTGCTACTTTTATCCCTATGAGGTATCTAGTAACTGCTGCTTTTGGTAACTCTTACATGTTTTTGGAGTCTGTGAAAATATGTTTTCTAATTTTTCTAGATATGGAGATAGTGCACTTTTGTTATGATCTATGTAGCATTTGCACAACTTCCAGGAGAAGGAAAGTGAGACAGTGTCTCACATGGCCACACTCTCACTGGAAGTCCCTCTCAGCTTCTCCACATCATCACTTTTCCTCACTCCTCTTTCCTGGTTGACACTTTAAACTTTGGAATGCCTCAAGCTGCTTACCTCTTTTACTCACCCATAACTCCATTAAAGTTTTTATACAGAAGGTCCTTGTTATAGTCTAGACCTCTTCATTTTCTAAACACATAATGATTGGTATATTATGCTCATAATTAAAATACCTAAAATATTTTGCCTCCTCTAAGAACTCTTCCTTGATATGTCCTCATGGCAGAATTCATCTCTAACCTTATTTCCATAATGTGTTGTTCAGTTGTAGAATACTTATCTTGTTGTTTTCTGAGTTTATTTATCTCTCATTAGAAAGCAAATGAATATCTCCTGTGCCAATCCATTAAACATTAAATATGGACTTTTCAAATTCTGGATTTTTAGGATTTATAGTTTTTCCATGACAATCAGAACTTATCTTCATTCAGCCTAATTTGATTTTTCTTTGCATCTATTTGAAATATATATATTTTGATTATTGAGGATTTAGGGACACTTGACCACTAAGCCCACATCCACAGCCCTATTTTGTATTTTATTTATAGATAGGCAGGGTCTCACTGAGTTGCTTAGTGCCTCGCCATTGCTGAGGCTGGCTTCAGTGATCTTCCTGCCTCAGCCTCCAAAGCCGCTAGGATTTTGGCCCTGCACCACCGTGCCTGGTGAAAGGTGCAATATTTTGGTTCATCCAAATCTCCTTATCTAACTTTTTCTCTCACGGGATTTAGACATGTCAAAACAATATTTTCTATTCTTAGGTAACATCCAAAATCCCTCTAGATTTAGAGCTTTCATAAAATTTGGAAAAGCACAATAATCATTAATGAAAACTCTTCTGTATTGCAGGTGATGCAACTGTCACCATAGCTCACAGATACACTCCCAGAGAACAACTGAAGATCCACACTCAGCTGGCAGATATTATCATAGTAGCTGCGGGTAAGTCTCTAGTGACTTATTTGGTAGAATGTCATCAGCAGAGTAATTCCTGCTCTAATTGTAGCACATAGCCAATCCCCAAAAAACAAATGCCAAATGTTTTCTCTGATATAAGGAGGCTGATTCATAGTGGGGTAGGGAGCAGGAGCATGGGAGGAATAGACAAACTCTAGATAGGGCAGAGGGGTGGGAGGAGAAGGGAGGAGGGAGGGGGTTAACAAGGATGGTGGAATGTGATAGACATCTTTAGCCAAAGTATGTATGTGAAGAAACGAATTGGTGTGAACATACTTTATATACAACCAGAGATATGAAAAATTGTTCTCCATATGTGTAATGCATTCTGCTATCATTTATTTTTTTAAAAAAATCAATTAGAAATTAAAATAAAATAGAACGAGGCTTCCAAAAATAAGCAATAATGACAATAAAAACAAAAACAAAATAAAAAATCAGTGAAGATCAGTAATGTATTGTAGCTGAGGGGAAAAGTGAAAGAAAACTGTACTTTCAAGTTTGTCAATGAAAATAGAAGGTCCAGGTAAGAGGAAAAGATAGACAACCACTATACTGCAATGGCCACATACACACTGAAGAACTCTTTTGCCATCTAAGACTTTAAATGGAAAGTTGATGGACTAGACCATGTTCAAAAGAGCATCTGGATGTTGTTTCCACAAAGAATGGCCTAGGAAACTTGGTCCATTGAACTGTGAATGTTTGGTCTGGAAGAAAGAAAATATGACTTAGATACAGAGTTTTTGTTTTTTAAATATATAGGATAAAAAGACCCAAACACAAACCTTAATTATAATAAGAGCTGCTTTAAGTAGCCAGTTCTTGATATAGTGAATTTCCTCTCATTTCATTGATCAGGTAGATAAATAATATAAATAGGATATCATAGAGAATTATTTGTCAGTGTTTTTTAAATAAACTTTTGTCCCATTTTGAATGTAAAGAGTATTCTATCCCTTTTTAAACATTAAATTTTAATAGATCAAATACCATAACTAAAATCACACATGAACAGCTGTAATTATTATGAACATATGTTCTCTGGGAGAGGTATTACATTCACTCTTTACTCTTTACCTATGAAGGGACCATTGTCAAGAATGTCCATGTATTGAATGTGGGGTTGTGCTAAGAATTTTAATGTTTTTTTCCAGTTCTAAGATTCTGTTATTTTATATTCATGTATAAAATTTATGAAATATAATGTGTTTATATATATTTCTTTATCACAAAAATGTTTAAATTTTTGCTGTTCTACAGGGTAAATTAGCAAGAAAGATATTTTGAAATTTAGAAAGGACTATAGTATAGAGGTCTTATGTGTGACTAAGTCAACTATAATTCTTTAGAGATATTGTATTTTTCTAATTTTATTAAACATAAATATTTTTGAATAGCAAAGGGAGTGTTAAATTCATTCATTCATTCAATAAACAATGGACACTTGCTATGAAGTAGTTTTTATAAATTGTAGAGATGCAGAAATGAATACAAATGACAAAAATCCCAGCCCTTCCAGAACTTATATGTTAGTGTGAGAGCAAATAAACAATACAATATAATATCAGGTAATAAGAAGTACAATAACAGATTGAGTGAATTTTTGCTTTAGCCAAGGCTGTGTAAAGGAGAATTGATTCCTGAGAGGCAAGCATAGAAACAGAAAAGTTATTGCAATTTTACTTAATGTATCCAGAAATTTCCCTAATACGTTTTATATTTGAATATACCGAATGATTATACTGTTATTCTATCTTTACCCTTGCCATGTAGTATTTCTGCATTGAAGATGATAGTTATAATTTTTGCTTCAGCCAAGGCTTGAAGGATTGCTTTAATGGGGTACCATTTTAGGTAGATTAATTAGTGAAGATCTTTCTTAGGAGGTGATCTTTTGAATAGAGCCCTTGTCCTGGCCTTTCTCCATTTGCCTATCTGATCCAATTTTTCCCTTTCCCCATTTTGGCCCCAGGAGGCTGACTAATGAGGACTAATGTGTTTCTCAGCCACTGGCTCCTGGCAAGGCTTGGAACCTTTCAGAGATTCAAGGGAGGAGAAAAAGATCAGGCCAGGAAAATTTTCTCTCTTATATTTCTACCTGCTTTCTAACACTCCCCCCATGTCCTGCTGGGGAGCCTCTGGGAGGGGTTGTGGCTCTCAGTGGGCTGCAATAAATCAGTTCCTTCTACCTGCCCTTTCAGGCTTAGGGATGGTAAAGGCTTCCTCCTGTTTCTAATCTACTAGTGCCTTGACAGCCCATTTTTCTCTTAATCCTGAACATACCCCCTGTAAAATTCCTTTAGTAATTTCTCTTCATATAATGGTCTAAGGAGTAATCCATGTCCTGCAGGGATACTGACTGATGCAGATTTATATGAGATGAAGAAATAAATCAAAGAAACATCTGGGAGAACATTCCTACCAGGGGAAGAACAAATACAAGAGTCTTTAAAGAGTAGCATGCTTAGCATGTTCCAGAACACAGATATTTGAGAGTTTATCACATTATTCTGATTTTTATTAAGCTCTAGTAAGTTATGAGAGAGACTCATAGGAAATGCTCTTAGGAAAGTAGCCAAGGTTTGTTCATGTGGGACCTTGAGGGCCAAGGTGAAGACTTTGATAGAAGCCAAGAGTGACAGAGAGTAGGAGATGAACAACTTGTGTATTTAAAGGTCACCTAGGCTATGTAAAGGAGAATTGATTCCTGAGAGGCAAGCATAGAAACAGAAAAGTTATTGCAATTTTACTTAACAGATCTAGGAATTTCCCTAATATGTTTTATATTTGAACATACCAAATGATTATACTCTTCTTCTGTCTTTACCCTTGCCATGTAATATTTCTGCATTGAAGATGATAGTTATAATTTTTGCTTTAGCCAAGGCTTGAAGGAGAGCTTTAATCACTTTGCTGCTGATCAGATACTGTTACTTTCTAGACTTTAAATTTGAACTGATGATTATTTACAAACTATGAAGGGAGAGTAAAAGTTCTGGAAGGAATTAAGTTTGATGAAGAGAATAAATGTTTAAATTAGTTTCAACTGAATTTAATTTATTTTCGTATTCTTAAGTATGACTTTTTCTGGAACCCAAAGGAGGGAAGAATTGAGCTTGCCAAGTGAACAAAAAGAGCCAGAAGGATTAGGGGTTCCTGGGTGTAACCATGTTGAGGTTCTCTACTTAGACCAGCCTACTGTGGGTGTTCTCTTACCACCAGAGGGCTCTAGTACAGTGAGGAGCTGTTTTGAATGTAGCTGGGTTGGCCACACCACAGCCTGCCTGATCCTGGCCAGAAGATATTTTGAGGGAAGACAGTGGGATCAAGGCCTGTTCTTGGCCTTGTTTTCCACCTTTAATGCCTCTCACCAGATACAAAGATGTGCTGAATGTTGGAGTACAGCTCTGTAAGCAGCCTTGCAATAATCCTGAAGAAAAAAGGTTTGGTTAATGGGAAATTTTAGGACAGAAAATTATTAGAAGTAACTAAAGATCACTAGATTTCCACTTCATTAATAATCATCTTGAGAATTTAAGAATAAAACATATAGGAATTAGTAAATTAAAGTGAAATTACAGAGAAAACATGAATTGGTGTGAAAAACAGATTCCACATAACCAGACAATAGGAACAAAGTATCACCAAAATGACCACGTCATGCTTATGTGTGGGAAATGAACAAATACAATTAGCAGTGGGTATTAAAGAGGGAGATAGTGATCTAATGGCAGAGGTAGCTGGAACAGGGAGGGCTGGACCACTGTCATAACTGGAATGTCAGCATATATGGAAGCAGTCCCATCTAGGAGAAGTCAGGAAGAGTAGAAGGAGGAGGAGTGCATGATGTGTCAAAAAGATTGATAATGTTTGAGAGATGATGGTGAAGAATGTGGTGATGAAATCTTGAATTGGGCTTGGAGAAGAACAAAGTAAAAGAAAAAATCATAGCAAGAAGATCCTGAGGCATGAATAATATTAGCTTACATTAATATTAATCTCACTCTTCCAGTTTCTCATAGTAATATATATATTATATATTATATATTATATATATATATATATATATATATATATATATATATATATATATATTGTACTGAGGATTGAACCCACGAATGTCTACCACTTTTTTTTTTTTAATTTTGAGAAAGGGTCTTGCTAAATTGCTGAGGATCTCACTAAATTGCTGAGGATGTCCTTGATCTTGGGATCCTCCTGCCTCAGCCTTCTGAGTCACTGGGATTGGAGGTGTGCACAACGGTGCAGGTTCAAATCTTATATTTTTAACTATGTATCACTTACTTTTTAAACATCTCTCCACAAATAAATATTTAGTCTAAGGTAGAAATCCAGACTAAGGTAGAAACTCGGTTCTAAAATAGATATTTAGACTAAAGTAGAAGCTACAAAGGTATGCATAAAATTAGTTTCTATACTACTTTAATGAACCATAGATATAGCACTTAGTATCAGTTTATAGTTGTCTGCTATCTTCACTAGAATATAGCAGAATATTTTTTACGTTAGTAGGTAATACTTAGAATAATATCTGACACATAGTGGCTGCCCAATTAATGCGTGCTACATTTGTTTTGAGATTGTAACTGGAATAAAGCTTCTTCAGTTGATATAAACTTAGTTGATATGTTTTTAAGATCACAGTTTTTTTAAAAAAAATGGAACCATTATTCTAGTTATTTGTTGATCTATACAGTGTAGGATTATTTTCAGGAACTACTAAATATTCCTAGTTTGTCATTATAAAATAGTTAATAAAATCATAAAAGTATAATATTTGTTCATAAAAGAGTAGTCAGAGCATCAAGTGCATGACTGACTTTATGCTAAGAATAAGGGTGAAGAAAGAGTAAAGATTATTACAGACAGTTAACCACATGGCTGAACGAAAACTAGTAGCTGGGGGAAGGCCATGTGAACTTAGTATGAAGCTAACCATAATAAGGGAAGGCTAGCTAGAG